CATATGTCATTTTTTCACAAAGCGAGCATTTACCGAAAAAACGACCGGACTTCATGCAAAAAACCGTTATCATGCACCTGAATGTCTGTGCGGCTCTATAATGCACCGCCTTCATCCCAGCTGACGCCCTTCCTCCTGCATACTGGAAAGGATCAAAGCATGGCCAATATGAGCCCAATTGTTGGGCTACAGCGTAGGAATCATTCCTGCTAATAGCGATCTGCGAGTTTAGTGCAAAAATGCATGGTCGCGCCGGAGAGCCAGGTGCGTCCCAGCCTGGGTTAAAGTCTTTCACACATTCGTGCTATATGCAACGGCTGTTGTTCGAAACAGCGTTCCCAGAAATGCAAATTTATGTAAATTTTAGGAAATGGTTCATGGCGTGTTCTACATTATGAATGTCGCATTACTGGAAATGAAGAGAATGGAAGTACCACTGTAGAATTTACACTCTTAAATGAGACAAGTGTTCTTGTACCACTTTCGGCTGGTCTTCAGTATCATGCATCGGTTCGAGCCTGCATCAGTTCTATATGCTCTTCCTATGCTAATGCTACAAACAGAGCTTTTGCTCCCTATGCCGGTAGCGCACTTGCCTCTCTTGGCTTTCCTAACAAGTTTTCATTGCAAACGACAAAGTAGCGCTGTCGGAGAATTGGTGAACACTTCCAAATGTTCGTCCAGACACGCTTTATTAAATTATTTTAACAATAATTAACTACTTTACAGAGCCCCTGTTGGTAGCATTTAATAGAACGGTCGATGGTAATGCTAGCAGCTTTTATGGAGTCCTGGGCGACTTGCTGCAAAATTATACATTACGTACGTTTTGTTCCCCGCTTTTATTTTCATTGGCTCTGCACTCGTCTACCGCAGAAAGAACAAAAGATGACGGTCTTTTTTTTTTGTTTCTTTAATCGCTGGAATTTTTAGCGTTCCATAGTAATTTATACAATTTTTTGACCTTGTTTTTGAACATATTTGAATTAGTCAAAAACTGGCAGGATTATATCGTTTTAATTGAACAATGATTGCAGTTGCACCAATTCCGGCTGATCATTCAGCAGCATTTGCTTTCGATTTATCAATTCATTCACTCTACTTTTTTGACAAGGATCAGGTATTCCTGCTTTTCCCATGCCTTCTCTCTCTCAATTATTCACTTTTTAAGGTGCTCCCACGCAGGAATTTTCCTCTGATATTCTTCAAAAATTGTTCAGTCAGTTAGCGTAATTGTGAAAGATTGCAGAATGCAGTAAATCGACAGCATAATGACGGATCCATCCACCGTTTTCTGAATTCAGTTTCAGTGAAATTTATGACAGTGATACCTCGTTTTGCAATACTAATCATTGCATCTGACTATCTCATAGTATCATATCGACTCACATCGACATTCGATCAGGAGTGCGAATTTGTTAGAGTCTATTTTCCAGTTTGCTTAAAATACATCTTGTCCTTTTAGTTTCTTTATTCATTCATGCGCATTGAACAAAATTTTGCAATGCGTCTAGAAATTCACTGAGAAAGCTTAAAAAATAATCATTGGCAGCGTTTTGAAAAAGTAGTGCTTCGACTGCTGTTGCGGCTAGAATTTTCTTAAGAGGAGAAATCTTTCGCTTTATTACAGCAGTTCCAATATAGTAATGTAATCCTGAATAAAACACTGTAAAACACAAAGATTATAAAAGTCGAACGGGAAAATGGCATAGAGATCTGGTTTTAGTGATGCATTCATAAATCAAGGGGAGCTATGCCAGGCCTTCGAAATGTATTAAATTAAAGTGCTTATTACTAGTAATTTCGACAAAAATTGAGAAATTTGTGCTCTCTTATCGGAAAATAGGCACAGTCCCGCGTCCTCTTAGATATGTTGTTGAGAGTGACAGATTGTGAGAAACAAAAATTCTTTTTGAGGATATACTCGTGCGAGTCACTGAGCGATTGCGGCGAGGTAGGTGGATTAGCAGGTGATGAGGAAACAGGCGATGTTTTCTACCTCATTCGTAATGCAAACGGTTCAACTAGCTTATACGCACTTAATCAGGATGTGCGATCGCCATACCTCATTGCTTCTTCTGAAAACTTTCCCAGGTTTGCATGTTTTGTTTCTGCGTTACTGGGGAAAAATAGTGATGCTTGGTCGTCTTGCTTATGCGTTTCCATGGTTCCTTAGATAAAAGTGAATGATCATTTGACTTTTCGAAATGGCAAGTATTCAATTGAGTTACTTATCAGACAATGGTTTGGAATGGATCTGTGTTGTGCACCAAAGTAGCACTGAGAACTGGCTAATATTTAAATGAGCTTGAGGAAAACGTAATAGTTTCTATGCATTAATTACTATGATAAGTTCACGACTGTGTATTTGCGCGCTATATATATATATATATATATATATATATATATGTGCGTGTGCCAGTCACGGTCTTGTTTGTGGGACTACTATTAATATCATAGTAACTGTAACTAGCGCGCCTCATTTTTGTTACTGAACCAGCGACAAACTATTTCTTGATGCTTGTTTATCTATTTTTTATGCGTTTTATGTTGCGCAACAGCTGTACAAAACGTACATTGTCACGGGGTTGTCTATCTGTGTGTGTATGTATGTGTATGTATGTATGTTTGTTTGTCCGTTACATTTTGTCCGCAACTTTCGACTCGGGAACCACGAGAGGTAGGAAGCTGAAATTTTAGGGGAATTTTGACCCCACAAATTTAATTTCAGCTTTCTCCTACTCCTGGGTACCACGTAGACCAAGTTTTGGCGGGAAAAATTATTATCTCGGGAACTATGAAAGCTAGGATGCTGAACTTTTAGGGTAATGATCCCTGCCCATATACCACCTGCACATTTAAATACAGCCTTCTCATGCACCCGGGTGTCACGCATGGCCCCGTGAAAACTTCGGCGGGAAATTGTCTCGGGAGCCACAAGAGCTAGGAAGCTCAAATTTAGCAGTAATGTTCCCCCGCCTCACATACAGCCTCGCAAATTTAGAATCAACCTTCCCGCTCGCCCGAGTATCACGTATAGCCCCGTGAAAGTCTTGGTGGGGAAAATTATTATTTCGGGGACCGCAAAAATTGGAAATTTGAAATTTTAGGATAAATGTCCCTCTCCCAAGTATGACTTCGCAAATTTAAATTCAGTTTTCATGCACTCTTGGGCACCACTTACGGGCTTATTATCTCGCGAACGGGGAATTATTATTATCTCGCGATTTTAGCGGGGAATTATTATCTCGCGAACCATAAAAGCCAGGAAGCTGAAATTTTACGACATCGCTTCCTGCCCAGTGCAATCCTGTAACTTTAAATTCATCCTTCCCGTACGTCTTGGTGCCGCGCATTACGCCGTGAAAGTTTTGGCGAAGACAATTATTATCTCGGAAACAACGGGAGCTAGGAAGCTGGAATCTCAGGGTAGTGCCACCTGCCCACGCACAACCCTACGAATTCAGATTCGGCTTTCACGTACGACTGGGTCTTAACGTCCCCGTGAAAGTTTTAGCGGGGAAAATTATGAACCTGGGAGCCAGAAGGTAGGAAGCTGAAAATTTCAGGAAGAAAGTTTTCTGCCTACGCAAGGGTCTCACAAACACTAATTTATTTCCTAAATATGTCGAGGTTTCATGCACGACCACGTAGAAGTTTTGGTGCGAAAATCACTGAAAAGCCGAAAAATTAGGATGTTGAAATTTTGCGAGGGTGTTCACCGTCCAAGGTTTCAAACTTATTTTTCATGTACCGGTGCGTGGAATTTTTAGTGGGAAATTTTGCAACTTAGGAACCAGACAACATTTCAACCCTTTTTGCACAGACGAAAGTGCAGAGCGGTAAAAATCCTTAGCAAGCAGACGTTCACTGGACGGAACTGCGCAAAACGCATGATCGCACCGGTTGCTATTTTTTTACTGAAGCATTACAAGCAACTGCAGAATACTGCATTACATTGTATCGTTTCACGTTTTTTGTAAATCAAAACGCATCTTCAGGAGTGAGTTTTGATTTATTATTTGATATAGGAAAATCATCGTAACCACGTATAATTTTAGGCTACAACAGCTAATTGTGGTCAATGAGAAGTTTGCTTTTGTTACGGAATCTGGTGAAATGGGTGTGTGTGATAAAAAGCTTGGCTCACTGAATATCAACTTGGCTCTCAGGAACGTAGGATTAGTTCCGAGGTACAATTTTGGATCAGTCAAACGAATCAACTTCACACGAGAACTCGCTGCGGATGAATCGAGTGCCAGAAAGACGCTCACTTGGGCCACTGAACCAATGTTAACTAGGGGCAAAGTCATTTTCAAAGTTTGTTCATGGATATTTCCTTTACTTCTGAAAATTTTGTTCATTTTGCATGTTATAAATTTTCTTGTGATTCAAAATGCGTTATTTTGAGGCCATATGTGTGTATGTGTGCGTTTTTGCGTGTCATTTCCTTTCACCCCTCCCCATCCCTCCCCTTCTGGTCCCCATGTGATAAAAAAAAAGTTTGCCATCTTCTATAAGGCCATACACTAGAAAACAATTTTCAGCTCTCTCAGTGTACTTATTTGCGATTTCGCAAACTCTGACTGTATTATACTTCGAGAATTTACGAAAAAAAAATTGCAAAATGTAAATTTTAAAAGTTCATTTCACCAGATGGGTGGGAAAACTTGCGCGCGCGTAAACTCGGGACGACACATCGTAGAAAATGCTAAACCATACTGGCATTTGCGTGCTATAATATTATTTTTTTTCTTCGTTTTTTTTTTTTGTACTAGGAATTGCTGATATCATGCAAAGTCTATCATGCATCTAGGCTTACTCTTTTTACTTTCATGATTATCATGATGATCTGTCTGCTGACGTTTAACGTTATTGCAGTGCAATCCCATGCATTGTATGCCTACAGATAAGATAGCTGAGTGGGAGAAATCGCGCCACAAAAAAGAGAATTTTAGGAAGTCATATTACAACAGTGCAGCACACAGCTACTGTTACAGTGGAATTCGTGCGCTGCTACTGTGCAAAAGATCGTGGGTTTGATTACACTACTAAGAAAACCAGTTCCTCGACGATTCATTCATTCGTTTTGGTGATGCCGTGAGGTCAAATTAGCATCAGTTTGCTTTTGAGTGAAGGGGCTGTCATAATCCATGCCAGTGGTAGCTTGCTTTTGGCAGTTGCTCCTGCGGGACGCTTTCGAGAACCTCCGCCTGTCATACTGAATAAAAAAAAAAGAGTTCTGACTTATTGAGTTACTGTTTCACGACAGTACTTGAGACTTCCGGATAATTGCTAACTTGCAGATTACCCTTTATGAGGATCAGTGGGGTGGTGAGCGTTTTGTGGATTATTCATTGTCGCACAGCTACACGATCAGCGAAGCTCTGCTCCGTCAGTGGCAGTCTAGGCAACGCTATGATGCCGAAGTAGAAGCGATAACTGCAGGAGACATAGTATCAATAAACCAGACAGGCCTCATCGCTCCGACGAAGCCACCGACACCTCCAACAAACATTACCATCTACGCAACACAACAGGTCATCTTTGTATTGGAATTCAAATAGTTTTATTTTAAAGTTTTTGCCTCACAACAGTCATAGTTTTCTTACGGCCTTAACCGGTTTATGCATGTCCCAAAATTTTTTAAAATGCGTAAAGCATCTCATTCCACCTGAGAATCGAAAGCACAGGGAAGTAGTTGGTTTGCTCTCTGGTTGTCAGTGGCAGTCGAACACAGTTCATTGTTGACAAAAATGCAAAAGTTTTCTGACCAGTTCTGTGCTTCTTGCGCACTGCCCTTCAAATCAGTCATATTTGAAGGATCTTAGCAACATCTCCCGATATCATGGCGCGTCTTTATTTCTGACAGTGGTTTTCTGTCTGCTGTATTATGAGGTGCATAGTTTCCGGGACGGTGTAAAACCGTAAACGATTCAATTATAAATTATGCATGAATTACAGAAAACGGTGGACGGCGCTCGAGCGTTGATGGATCTGTTTTGGGATGAACCAGTGGAGTGGAATGGGGAGCCGCTCGGTTATTTGATCAATTGCACGGTGGATGGAGTGGATGATCCGGCTGCAGAAGTTCCAGCTGCGACACGTTTTTATTCGTTTAGCGTTAAATCGGGCAGCGTTAGCTGTGCTGTGGCAGCTCGTAATGAACCTACTCTAGAAACCTTCTCGGAACCTGTCACTATTGATAGCAGCGGTTAGTAAAATGTTGTTTTGCACCGGTACAAGTAGATTCTTTGTTTGCGCCGTTTTAAACTACTAAGGCCCTTCTTTTTAGTCGAGAGATGTCTGAATAACTTGTCATCCGACAGTCAGTCTACTCCTTCACCTGTAAATTCAGACTTGTTGCCAGGAAAAGCAAACATACACTCATTTTCTGACCCACTGAACGTTTCTAAATTTGCTTAAAGTTCTTCTGAATTTCACTCGAATTATGTCTTGAAATTTTCCGCTAGTGTCAATAACTGCACCAAATTTTTAAATCCGTAGTACATGCAGGTATATGTTTTTCCCACAGAACAGAAAGTACTGTTAGTATTTTTCGTGGAAAAACCGACAAAATCTTTTAGCTTGGATGTTTTTCGTAAAAATGCCTCGACCGAAAATATACAGTCCTAAAACTGTTACTGTCTAAAACAAGGAACACATAATTGAGCCTTTTCATATCCACGCTTCGTGTGCCACATTTTTTTACTTTCACCCTCATTAAATTCCATGGGTTTTAATTGTTTTTTTTTTTCAACAGAATATCCTTGAAGCTCAAACCATTGAATCACACATATTTTGTGGAAACATAGGCATCCGCCTATGTTTCCACAAAATAGGGCCACTTCCTGGGCAAGGGGGTAAGAGATCCATCGCTCCTTCCCTCCCTCGATCCGGTTATGAGCGGGAATGACGGGACTTAACAGAAGAGCAACGAAAGCATTGTATTACAAGCCTCGGTTTATTTCAGAGTAACTGCAGAATCTGTTTTTTCTCTTTCAGTGTCTGGTTTGACAACTCACTTAGCTGAATTTTCTATCCGCGTTACAATTATGCTGCGACTGTGAAATTTGATTTTGCAATAAAATTTTAAGCGAAAAAACTGGCCTGTATGTTATATAAATTCTCCGAGGTTCTAATCAGAAAAATAGTTGCTTCACAGAACTGAATTTGAAGGCAATCCATTTGCGGGTGTTATCATTCGATTTTGTCGTCGGTTCGGGTACATCTCTGAACAATCTTCATTAAATGTTTCCTCACGCAAATTCGGCCTTTATTACCTCTATTTGGTGCAGATTAAAACCTCACTGTAGATGCTGTGCAGTTCAGCTCTCATCTGATGCTTTCACTATGTGCTTAGTCCCTGACAGCTAATGATTTTCCGCATGCGCGATTTTTAAATCAAGTGGCGTGTTTGGAAGTGTTCCCGCGTAGATTCGGCTTAACTTGCAAGCGATATATGATTCTCTGTGCAGGTATTCGTGCGAAAATTAGCCCCTGCTGTTAACTGTTATTTCCTTCGAGCTGAGTAAGCAGTGTGCTGATGCGAAGTGACTTGACAGTCCTCAGAAATAAATTTTTTCTTGGGGTCCTGTTTTTTATAGTTCAGCTCTCTCGTTTCCTTATGTCCTAGAAAGGACTCACTGAACTCGAATCATGTAGATTCGTTTTTTTGGTAACTGCCTATCTTAAGTTTGTTTTCCCAAAAATACTTAGTGATACTTCATAAAACTTTTCCTTTTTTTCTTTTTTATCCATGTTTCTCCTAGTTACATCACGCCTGTTAGCTTTATTTGTATTACATCAGAATCTTCTGTTTGTTTTTTCCTTAACATACTAAAGTATAAGTTACGGCCGCTGAAATAGCGATGTGTGGCACAGCTTTACTTCTTCCCTATGCGCTTTGCCAAGATAACGCGCCATCGCAACTCTCCTTCCAGGTTTTTTACTTCGTATAGCGGCACATAGTACGTCTAGTAAAATCTACTTCGAAGCTGACAGTTTTAAAAAGCGTTGTAACTTTAGAGTTGCGGCCACTTGTGCGTTTGTTTGCAATCGACTCAAGCAATAACGTAATATCGATAACGAATTGGCTGCCTGCTCCAACGCAGCTTACAACTCGCGCAAAACGACAATCTCCACCACCACCAGTTGTGAGGATTTGAGTTTTTCTCAGAAGCTGGAATTTCTAACACTTATCTTTTCTTACAGTGGCACATTTATTCTTAGATAGCGGAACAGTTGGTGGCTTACATCGGCAATGAACTGTACTCGATCAGAAAAGATTCGGATTCGGCGCAGCCGTTCCTACTTCGTCTTGATCCCAATAGTGTGGGGAATATTCTGCACAAGGTATGCTGAAAAAATTTGCAATCAACTTCTGGTAATCACTCCAGAAATGATTATTTTAATGAGAAGTTCAGGTTTCGATAGGTGGGGAGATCGGAAAGGTCGATGCGATCACATCCGACTGGGTCGCCAATCGTCTATTGTTCGTCTCATCAGCACGCCTCATGCAACTACCTCTCGATGCTATCCAGGTCAGATTTCTTTTATTCATTGCAATTTTTTGTTTGGCCGAATTTTATTCCTTCAGATAAACCGCACCCCCTTCGTTTCCCGTCCTTTGCTATGCGTTTTGCGCTGTGTAATAGTAGCACAAAACGCACCTTGTCACAGGATTGTCTGTGTGTGTCCGAGTGCATTTTGTCCTACACTTTCAATTCGGGAACCTCAAAAGCTAGACGACTGGAATTTTAGTATAATTTCCCCGGCTCGAGTACAACCCTTGAAATTTAAATTCAGCCTTTCCGTGTCCGCAGGTAACACGTACTGGTCACATAAAGTTTTGGCCGGGAAAATTATTATCTTGGGAACCACCGAAAGTAGGAAGCTGAAATTGTATAAAAAAAATGTGGCGCTTTTTGTTAATGAATCTGTCTTCAAGGCAGTTACATGTTGCTTTTTGCAGAGGAAATCCTCGCTGATCTGTCCATAAAGCGGCCGATCCTTGCTTTTATTCATTACTCCAAATTCATCATCATAAAGCAGTATTAGTTTATTCACAATTTTACTGCAGAAAAAGCGTATTTCAGAGTCTTTCAGTAATTACGCCACGTCGCATCATGAATCTTTCGTCAGGTGCTGGTGATGCGAAACAACTTCTCTTCGACCCTTTTTCCAAGTTTGTTATTTCTGACAGCATTGTGTGTGTATGAGCCTACTCTGCATCTGTGAAAAGCTGATGTTTGGTGTATGTTACGGATTGCTTCACAAGCCTCATTATGCTCTCCTATCTGCTAAATGTTGTAGTTTATGAAATGCGCTATAATACCTCAACAGATCCGTTGTGGAGGAGTCTACTATTCAGTAAATTCTTTTGTACAAACACTGTTATTTTCAATTTATTTTGAAATATATAATATCATCAGTAAAGGTTCTATCCTTGTTCCTTTTTTTTACCCAATCTTTCAATCGTAAACTTTCGTTGAAATTTTACGATCAAAGTCGTGTTTTAAAAATTTCGTGTACATAGTAATGAAATATCTTAGTGCACCCAGTGCGCCTGCAGTGAAAAAAAAAAAAAATAAACTGTCGAACCACCGATGTCGTATCTTTCGGAACGTTGTGCTCCTTTTTTTCTTGAGGTTACCTTTCTCTCAAACCAATCAAGGAAAAGGAAATGTGTGAACTGAGCAAAAAAGATGGTGCCTGTCAGAAATATTTAATTTCTGTGCTGGAGCATTTTTTTTTAAATGCTGTTTTGATCAAATTCTTGATGCAACTCGATTGCTCAACTTTACAAATTTCAGTACGGCCTTTTTGCTTACCAAAAACGGTTCTCTGTTTTCGCTGGATCTCAATATGGGCATCGAAGAGAATATGGCGCTCAGGTACGTCTTTTTACAGCATCAGGTTCCACCTATAGCTCGTCCTTCAAATCCTGACAACTTTTATATTCAGAGCCAAAACTCCCTTTCCCACCCATTCACTTTCTTATTTTGCTCTTGAAAGATGAAAAAACGGGGAAGGCAGCAGCTACTCGTTAGTAAGGTTGTCGATGGTTCCTATTCTTTATAAAAGAACAATGCAAAAAACAGACATCCTGCAAATTAAGCGAGAAATTAACGAAAAACTGAAAACATTTATGAAATGGGTTAATAAGGCATGCAAACAATAAGATTGGAATGCCTGAAGTCGGAGACTGTGTCATCGATGATGGCTGACTTCGCATGGAACTTAGCCACGTTGCCAGCGATCTATGTGCTCACTTGGAATGGCATGATGCGCGTTGAGCTATCTTCTACAAAGTGCGAAGAAATTAAGTTTGCTTGGGACAAGTTCGGAGGTTTGTGATACATTCATATTATTCCTGTGGTCTTGCTGTTAATTGTGCAAGCGCTGCTTGTTAACTGGTAGAAACACATTTGCTAACCATTCACTGTCATTGGCCTTACAGTTTTTTCCTTTTTGTCTTCCACTGGTCGAGCTTTTTTTTGTCGCTTCCAAAATTCAGAAACACTGCTTTTTTAGAAAAAGGACTGAAGTCGATTTTATCATTCGC